TACGTGGACGTAGTCGTAGGAAACATCTAGTTTCATATAAAATTATTACTATCTAAACATTTTTATTAAAACACAATAAAAATAAATGATTAAACAAACTCTAGCCGTCTTTTGTCATGCAAATGATTTCACACGATCAAGATAAATAGCCACATAATAAAGAAACCCGTTACTTATGGTATCAATGTCCTGCGATATTGAATCTACTTGCTACTTGATGGAAATCATAAATTAACAGAAAGACAGTGTCACTACGCTAAAATCAATCAAATCTACCTATTATTAAATCACTGGTATTCAATTTTACTGCCTTCTTGGCCGAGGGTAGCTCTCGAGGGTTCTCAATAGCAGCAGGGAGTCTGGAATTGTAACCGGTATATGGCAATAGGCTCACCCCCTATTACATGGGACTCATAACATAAATAGTGAAAAGTGGGTGTTACATTGTACAGTGGCATAATGTACACCTCTGCCTATCCCTTCGGGGATAAAAGGCGTGATGTTATGTAAAAAGAAAAAGCATTTCATATTACCTGTATTACACACATACAATTCATTCTTAATTTCATTTGCATATGTATCTCTTAATGTCATTTCCTTAAGAACCAGTCCCCAAATTAATTAAACAATTACCTCTATAACAAACAATTGCACATTTTAAAACTTTTATTTGTTACCATTAAACATTTTATGGATCTGCCCTTAATTAGTTTATTACCTAATTAAATACAACTTCGTAAAAGTTAACGATTATAATTTACATTTTAACTTTATGTCGTCTTTAACCTAAATTTTGATAGTATTCTTACATAGTACCTATCAGGAACGTGGAAAAAAGGCGGACATATTCTCTTGAAACAATGACTGTGGCACCTGGTTCCTATAGACTTACACGGAGAATACACACACAATGACACGAAGGACATCTGTCGCGTGACATGGCCCGTCATTTACACTTCACACGTTACGGTGTTGCGAGTACACGCACACATAAATACACCACTGACATTTTGGTGCTTCAATCATTTCTAAGTGACATTATGACGTAATTTTGTTTTAGCCGTTTTTTTCAACGTAGTAATTCTTTTGTTTTAATTTTTTAAATTAGTCTTAAAATTATCTAAGTCCTCCTTTGTACTTACTAAACGTCTATTCTTCTTGTTCTTGTGATACCAGTTCTTTCCGGAAGGTTGATCGTCAGCAATACACTAGGGGTCAAATGTCTTGCGACACGTGTCGCCAGCGACGTTGGGTGAAGTAGCGCGACGTTTCCAGACCTTGGTTGACATGTCTGACAACATCAACGTTGCTGTGGACATAAAGCGTGCGCTGTCGCCTTATAATCAAATTTGTCGGGCGAAATCGGCAGGCTTCGCTCGACATGTCGCCAATACAATACATGTTGTTAGGCATTTGTCCCCTAATGTATCCTTGGCTTAATAATTAGTCCTCATCATTGGCCAGGCGTCCATTAATCCTATAAACAGAAAAGAAATAAAGCTTAAGTTTGACATGCATAACAACTTATAAATTGCCTACCTATCATCAACACACTACATTTTAACTAAAACCAATTTTAGACACTGCCTTCTAAGTCATTCAATACGTAGATTCAACATCAAAACGACTTATAATATAAGATCTTCACTATAGTACCAAAGACCTTGACTACAAAACAAAGTTTCCGAGTATATCAACGCACAAAACAAGTCATTGTTTTAAAGCAAATACTGCCATTCAGTTTACAGACGGACAGACAGACTGACAGTAATTATTAGTAAACTTGAACCGGTCATACGAAGACACTGAAGTGAAATCTCATTGATTGATGAACCTCTTTCATTGTGATATTTATGATAACCAACCTGGTTCCAATTGCATGATTTGAATACCTGACAGTGATATTTAGGGAACCTAGATAGTAAACCTAAACCGAATCGAGGCTATGATAGAGTATTTAGATCGTAGAATTTAAGAGTTGTTGTTTAGATATCATTGTAGAGGGCTTTCGACTTCGTAAGCTCAGAGTGAAAGGGCAGCGAAAGGGCAAATGTGTCCGACTTATGTAATAGAACTGACCCACTGTTACATTGTGATGGGAAAATCAACCAATGATTTCTCCGGTGAGGCGGGAGGGATTGTCAGACTCTTACTGACTAAAAACCACCCCGTTCCTACTTCTGCCCTCGAGCTGGAGCCCCGGCAACCCGTTAAGTCCTCCGTGGCTCCGTATCCGCATCAGCCCTATTGGGTCCCATCCGTTGTAGACCCGTAAAAGAATGCCTAAGAGTTTTCAACCGCTCTGATGGCTCTTTGAGGTGCTCGCGGAACGCGACGCACCGTACGCTCGGATACTGTATTTGTTATTAAGAAGACGTTACTCTGCTATGCTGGAACATGCGCTAGCCAACGCAAACGCCGATCGCCGCGAAATATGGCCTTTTTTTTTTTTTTTTTTTTTTTGTTGACGGGGGGAAACCTTCCAAAGGCGCCTAGCTTTTTGGGGAAAAAAGACTAGGGAGTGTGGGATTTTTACCTCACTAAAACCTCCCCGGTGGCCACCATCCGCACTTGAAGGGGGCACCGGGTCCTCTTAGTAGACCAACTCCGGTGCCCTCATAGTGCAACGCCTGTTACGGCACCTCCCTATGGAGACCTATGTGTCTCTCCTTGAGCCTCTCTATGCACTGCACGGCGGCACGTGACCACTGTGCCGCCGTCATCCTTGAGGTCATTAGGTGGACGCCTAGATTCCCCACTCTATGCGCCCATGACCCCAAAGGTTTGCCTACCCGCGAAATATGGCCTAGTCTCCATATTTCGCGGCTGCGCCGTAAATTGAAATAACTTTTATTATAATCTGTGGAACTAGATTGGTATTTAATCAGCGGACTAATCGTCCGACAGTTCCCTTCGTCTTTCCCAGGTGCGAAGACCCAGTGAGAATTAACCGCATTGGGGAAAAAACGGCTCTTCTCTAACGAGTTTCAATAAAAACTAGACTGAAGTTCGTTCGTCTATATCTCCAAAGTAAACTATAACAAAACTATAGTAGGTTAATTTAAACCAAGATAAAAAGCAGCCAAAATAAACAACGATACGTAGCCAATAAATAAAGAAAGGCATGCGTCTGTCTACCAATAAATTTGTACTATCTTAATAATGATCTGATCTCCTCAGCGATCGATTACACGGCTCAGTAAATTAAATTAATTGATTTTTCAATCGAATGCAGGTCAGGTACGCACGTCAAAATGTATTTGAGTAATTAAATTGTCAATGTACTTCAAAATTGATGGTGCATAGCCGTAATATGAAAAAAATGGGTATTATGAATTTTAATTATAATAATAATTGTTGGATTGAGAAAGTGTTACATTTCTTAGTGTGTATAAGAACTAAATAAAAAGATTAAAGATATCCGTTTGTATGATTGGTCCAATTCATTAATCTTTAGAGCTTAGGCAATTGTTCAAATCGTATGATACCTGCATCGTTGCATCTCTTTGAATACGCTGAATGAGATCAATTGAATAGTGAAAGTACAATCGACAACCAATTAAAATATATGCTATATCAATACTCGGGCTTTCATGCCGTGTAATGAGAATGATGGAATAGAAAATAGAATATATATCTTTTCGCCGATTTCCTATTTATCCCTTTTTTTTAAGGGGGGAAATTCTTCGAATGACTGCTCCCGCCTGGGTGAGGCGGGAGGGAGTGTCAGGCTCTTACTGACTAAAAACCACCCCGTTCCTTCTCCTGCACGTCGAGCCGGAGCCCCGGTTACCCGTTAGGTTCTCCGCGACTCCGAATCGGCATCGGCCCTATTGGGCCCCATCTGTGGTGGTCTGATGGCTCTTTGAGGCGCGCGCGGAACGCGACGCGCCGTACGCTCGGGTCTGTTTCTGGTCGGACGGGGAGCCACCCATGCTCGCCGTCCGCAGGCCCGCGCTTACGGTGGCCGGAGATCGTCCCGCGATCCCCGACGCCCGGTGTGTCCTTCGCGATGGCTGGGTGGCGAGGAGTCAGCGCTTCGCTGCCTCACGCGTCCCGCCTCCTCCTTAGCTAGCATGACTGCTTCGCAAAAGGAGGAGACGGCATCCCAATCCCCCTCGCTTCGCATCATGGCCTGCACTAGGCCCGGACGCGAGAGGTCGCCATCGCCGATCACTTCCCTGAGGGCACGGCGGTGCTCAGCCCACGCAGGGCAATCCTATTTATCTCTAAGGTTGACTGGGAGAGAATTCTATATGGCATTAATGTCCGCCTTATGTACCATTACTTGTTTCTGTGTACATTAAAGTTTAAATAAATAAATAAAATATAATTTGTAATAATAAAATGCTCTGGAATGACTGGACCGATTTTGTAGGACTTTTATTGGTAGGTAGCTGGTGTACTAATGAATAACATAGGCTTTTATTTAAGAAAATTGAAACTAAAAATAAGTTATGTTCATATTCTACGCGGAGGAAGTCGCGGGCAACAACTAGTTTTACTATCCTACTAATATTATATAGTGTCAAAACATCTGGAGGGATCGTGATGAAAATCGTAACAGGGATAGATTATGGTCTGAATAGGGATGATGACAGGGTATGAAAATTAAAAATTACTTACTCCGTAAGTTAGGTAATGAAAAAATTTTAGACACGTATTTATTTTATTTTGTTGTATAATAAAACAATACTTAGATAAAACGAATCAAAGTTAAGGAGTGGGGGCTAAAACGTCATTTCTACGTATAAAATCTACGTAGAAGTGACGTCACGCAACACTTCAAATCAAGATATCGTCGAAAGTATTCGTTTCTGTAAGAAAATAAAAAAATGCGTGTCTAATGATTTAAATAATCTACCAGACGGACATTAAAATAAAAATTACGCATGTACCCTATTAACACATAGGCTACTTTTTATCCAGCGGGACCACGGGCGAAACTGTGGGCAGAAGCTATTCAATGATATGATTTACCAACTTCATCTTGGTTCCAGGACAAGTAGCGTCACTCTGCAAGCCATTCGAGAAGCTTCAAGTGTGCGGCTGTCCACGTACGTGCCGGGACCCAGCACCGGACTGCAAGGCCGTCTGCCGGCCTGGCTGCTTCTGTGAAGAGGGACAGGTTCGAGATGATGAAGGAAACTGCATCAAACTGGCTGACTGTCCTCCTATTTGTAAGTAGACATGTACCTAAGATCTAGATGTTTAACTAACACAGACTTAGTCATACTCATACCTAAATAGGAATTATCTCGATCGTGCGACTGCCAAATAGAAAGGATGAAAATGAAGTACCATAACATAACATGACATCACGCATTTTATCCCCGAAGGGATAGGCAGAGGTGGACATTACGACACTTAATGCCACTGTATAATGTAACACATAGTATGTGTTACATACTTTTCACTATTTGCCGTAGCAAAGGCTTACATGGGATGGGAGGTGTCTGGAATAATGTCTTCTTCTTATAGTCGTATGTCCCCTAGATGGGGCAGAGGGCCTCCACAGAGGTTCTTCATGTCGATCGGTCTTGAGCTTCTCGCTTCACCTCGCTCCACGTCATTCAGATGCTCGCCTTTCTGCTATGACAGTACGACGCCAGGTTTGCCGAGGGCGGCCACGCTTCCTTTTTTCTCTGAGGATTCCAATCCAGTGCTTGCTTAGAAATTGTGCCCGGGACATATATCGGGCACGATACAAAACAGACACCGTGCTACTACTGAGATGTGTTAAAAAAATCCAGAAATACTTTGCCCGACATCGAACTCGAGACCCCTTGCCCAGTAGTCGCAATTGCAACCACTCGGTCAACGAGGCAGTCCATTAATGGAGAACTATTAAGTTATAAAATATCTAAGACCTATCTAAAGACGTTTGCAGATCTGTGTACACAATGAAATCACAAACAGAAAATTAATATAAATTAACTAGCTACTACCGCGCGGTTTCACTCGCTCTGCTCGGCGCCTATTAATCGTAGCGTGATATTTTATAGCCTATAGCCTTTCTCGATAAATGGGCTATCCAACACAGAAAGAATTTTTCAAATCGGACCAGTAGTTTCGGAGATTAGCGCGTTCAAACAAACAAACAAAAAACAAACTCTTAAGCTTTATAATATTAGTATAGATTTGTAAGCGATTAAACGATGAATGAATGAATTAACAGATTGATTTCATTAATTAATGGTTGCATCCATCAAAGCTTCGATAACTCTATTTAATATTCATGTTGTTCGCTCATACAACATACTATTACCATGCACTTCCATTAACATGATTGCAATAACGCATTTATCATTAATTGTGTCTATGCATACATAGTATACATATATCATACACATACTAGCTTTTTACCTATGGCTTGTTATGTATGTACTATGTTTACACTTTGAGACAATTCAATGAGACAAGTTTCAATTGGGCACCTCATTCAGAACATTCAATTCGATTCGATTAACTTTCATTATCAATAATATAACCTGTGAGAGCGCAAAAGAGGGGCTTCATCATTATCATCAACAGCCTATAAATGCCCACTGTTTAGCAAAGCCTCTTCTCACACGGAGAAGGTTTGAGCATGACTACGCTTGCTCAATGAGGGTTGGCGATTACAAACTTATATGTAATTAGAAATTATAAGCCCAGGTTGCCTCACGATGTTTTCCTTCACCGTTTGTCAGTAGTGTCTGAATAATCTTAGAAAGTACATATAATTCGGAAAAAGTCATATTGGTACTTGGCGTTGGTAGGTTTCGAACCCTCATGCATGAGAAGCGGGCGTCTTAACCTCCACGCCACCACGACATCAAAGAGTTATGTCACCTTAATTATTATCTTCGCCTGGCAAGCAGGTTGGATATCATAATTTAAAAGGAACAAGTATATCAGAAAACGCAACTACCAGCCTCTTTAATACGATGAAGGGACTCTTAGGTTCCCCACTCCTGGTTCTACATCCCTTCATCGACGCTTAGGTACGATACCCGCGGGAAGTGTGGAAAGCGAGTGTGTCTACTGTCACATAAGCTTGCAATACTAAAAGACAAACTCAGAGAACAATACCAAGCTACACTGATCAAACATCGAAGTCGCGGAGAACCTAACGGGTTACCGGGGCTCCGGCTCGATGTGCAGGAGAAGGAACGGGGTGGTTTTTAGTCAATAAGAGTCTGACACTCCCTCCCGCCTCACCCAGGCGGGAGCAGTCATTCGATGATTTTCAACCCTTAAAAAAAACACACTGATCAAAATCATAGGTTTATGGCGTACTCATAAGTAGACTTAACAAATTCATACCGCTTTTACAGTAGCAGCCTATAAACAAGATACAACGGAGCCCCGTCCCAACGGGGGCCGGTGTCCAGACAATGAGGAGTACAGGTTCTGTGAGCCCTGCCACAAGACCTGTGAAAACCCCAACCCTATCTGTCCTGCACAGTGCGCAAGGGGATGTTTCTGCAAAGATGGGCTACTACGGGACAAAGATGGCACCTGTGTTCCTAAGGACAAATGTTCTAATAGTAAGTATTTTAGTATGTCATTAAGAATATGAAACAAATAAAATAAAGAATAGTGTCTGTTCTCTTGCAATTATATTGTGTAGAGTATACTTTCTCCAACCACTGCTGGATATACGCTTCCCCAATAGCACGGCAAACGACGCGAATGAACTCATAACATCACGAAGGGGTAGGCAGAGGTGTACACAGAAGTAACACCCATTTTTCACTATTTATGTTATGAGTCCCATGTAATAGGGGGTGACCCTATTGCCATATACCGGGCCCAATTCTAGACTCCGTGCAACTACTGAGAATTTATAAAAAACCTCGTAATAATTTGCCCGAACCGGGAATCAGACCCGAGACCCCTTGCCCGGCAGTCGCACTTGCGACCAGCCAACGAGGCAGTCGAATGAACTCATACCTAGAAAGAACCCAATTTGAAACTGCTGCAGTTAAAACTGTTTTTTATATTAGTAAGGTCGTGACAAATATAATAAATACTGCAGTTTATCTTGAAGGCAAAGCTTATGATTTTGCAAATAAATATACCTAGATAGTGTTTGCCTTGTTATCTTCGAATGATCTTGGCTTACTTCCTTGTCGGACGAGGTCAGGGTACCATACATTGTGTTTGTCTAATTTAGTCAAACGAAAAAGTCCAAGACAAGCTATTGTTTAAATATTAAAACGGAGTAATGACATACTTTGATTATTATCTTAATGCATTACTTAGTTTGGTAAACAACAGTTTTGCAAGATGCATAAATATCGCTTTGTTTTCTTGTTTTCTTTTTATCTATTGTTCTGAATGAGATGCCCAATTATAATTAATTATAACTTTTGCTTTTATATAATAATAGGGATGATGGACAGGGTATGAAAATCAAAAATCTAATTCGTCCGTCAGTTAGGTAATGAAAAAATATTAGACACGTATTTTTTTATTTTGTCGTATAATAAAACATTACTTAGATAAAACGGAGGAGTAAAAACGTCATTTCTACATTGATAACGTCTCAAGAAGTGACGTCACGCGACATTTCAAATCAATATATCGTCAAAAGTATTTGCATCTGTAAGGAAATAACAAATACAGCCTTGGCCAAAAGTATTGAGCACCTTACAAATTTCGCTCATTTACGGTAAGTGTGGGAGAAAACCATATCTATTGTTGATGAACTATTTTGTCGGTCATCTACAAAGGTTTAAAAACAATGACTCACGCCGCAGCTAGCAACAAAACACCTGGGTGCAATAAAATGTGTATTTTACAATTTTTGTATTTATTTATCAGTTCGTTACCATCGCTCGTTGTGAACACCTTCAGTGATCTACTGCGCTTTTTGTATTTTATTTCGGAAGTTATTAGTATTATCGTTGCAAAATACCTAAACGAAACGAACTTTCTTTAGAAAAACGTGTACAGATACAGCTTCTGTATGAGCAAGGGAAATCGCAAGTAGAGATTTCCAAAACTGTGAAATGTTCGCGTCGATCCGTGCATATGCTATTTAGCGGTTCTCTACTACCGGATCACATGAAAATAGATCAAGAACCGGGCGCAAACGCATCACCACAGACCGTCAGGATCGTCAGTTTCTGAGAGAGTCATTAAGAAATAGGAAAAAAAACATCTTCCGAGCTTGCTGCTGAGTTGTCAGAACAAATTATGAAACCAAATTCAGCTCGAACTACTCGAAGAAGGCTTCAAGAAGCTGGTCTGAAAGAATGTAAAGCTAGGAAGAATCCATGGCTCTCCGACAACAACAAAAAAGCTCGGTATGAATGTACCTTAAAACACCGAACTTTTGCCGCTGAAGATTGGTCAAATACTGTGTGGTCCGACGAATTAATCTTTGAGGTAAGTACGTCAATTTAATGTCCTAATACAATTTTATAAAATGGTTGAAAAACCGAACGTATGAAAGAAGTAATTTTAGTTTTACAAAACTCAATATTTTTTCCTTTATTACAGATTTTTGGTACACCTGGTGTGACCTTCGTGCGTCGCCGTATGGGCGAAGAATTTTAGCCAAAGTGTGTGATCCCCACCGCTAAACACGGCGGCGGCAGCATAATGGTCTGGGGTTGCATGACCGATTCTGGAGTTGGCGAATTGTTCGTGCGGCCCTCACGCATGGACTCTACCAAGTACATAAATGTACTAGAAACTGCGTTCCTGCCTTCATTCACGAAACTTTTTGGTGACACGAACATGGATGGTGTAAAATCCAGCAACATAACGCACCATGCCACAAATCTGCCCGCACAATGTCATGGTTTCGGGAAAACAACACGGAGCTTCTTGACTGGCCTGCCCAGTCTCCAGATCTGAACCCCAAAGAATATTTATGGGGTTTATTAAAGCGTAGGATTAGGCGCCACACAATCAACAACAAGGAAGATCTAAAACGCTGCCTGCGCCTAGAATGGAACGCAATTACTTCTGAAGACTGTAAAAATCTCGTTAATAATTTACCAAAAAGAATTTTTGCTGTAATTACGGCAAAGGGTGGACCAACAAAATATTGATTTTCTATTAATAAATGGTAAAATAAACCCACATAAAATGTTTTGTTTTATTTCAATTTGATACTCAGCTTAAAACTTAAAGATGTCATGGGTGCTCAATACTTTTGGCCAAGGCTGTATGTGTCTAATGTTTTAAAATAATCTACCAGACGGATTTTAAAATAAAAAATATTCGTCTACCCTATTTGCTTAGCAAAGTTCAAGGTAGATAAATTACTGGACGCTACATTCAATGGTCATGCCATTAAAAGGGATTTTGGCCAAATTAGACATCGAAGACAGGAATTGCTGGTCAATGGGCACTTGGTACTTGAAACCTTTGTATGTACAACACGATAGTAATTTTTTTATGATCGTGCCAATGTAAAATGTCAAAGTCAAAGTCAAAGCATTTATTTCAATTAAAGCATATGAATACTTTTGAATCGTCAACAAATACAAAATAAATAATAGTCTGTCAGTCAGTCCGTCAGTGAAGCTAGGTGAAGCTAGGTGCTCATTCCAAAATGTAGATTTGAATGGATAAGAACGAGCAAGAAACTCCATTCGTTACTATTTTAAAAAAGCGTAGACCACTTAATTTATTCTAACTGTCTGTCTTCAATAGGATTTTGAAAATCGAAATAACCCCATAGGAAGTTCAGACCAATTCCTACTTACAGTAAAATTGGACATCCCTTCTATCCAATTTTAGAACAGTATATTATATAGTTAGTAACTCAACAATTTCATTTTATTTGCAGACATCGAATACTAGCATATGACCTAATGACCAGCCGATCTCTTGCCGAAGTTCTTCTTTCTTCTCTCTGCATGCTGTGGCTACTCTTCTTCTGTTAGTCTCCTACAAAGAAGATCTTACATTAATCTTTTTAATTACTTACTTATTTATGTATTCTATACCATTCTACTTATTGCTGTTATGTTTTATTTATCAATTATAAAATTAAATTGTGTACCAAAGACTTAAGCTATTGAAAATTGCTCATCAAGAAATTTTCTACTTATTTTTCGTTATATTTATTTTTTGCGATATCTATGCATTTACTGTATTCGACATCATTAATTTCACAAAGAAGAAAACGATTCCTGATGACCGAAATCCCTCTCTAATCAAAACACATTGTACAGAAATTCCAGACCCAAAGCCAATTCAATACCAGATGACCTGCAGTGAGCACCAGGTCTACAAGCGCTGTGAGACCTGTGCCAAGACCTGCAGTAACCCAAACCCTAAATGTCCAACCCCTTGTGCCATGGGGTGCTTCTGTGAAGAAGGTTACGTCCAGTCCCCCAATGGCCAATGCGTCAAGTTAGAAGACTGTCCAAAAGGTAACTGGGACGAACTTAATGGGGTGTTCTCTAATTTCTGGCTATAACTGTCTTGTGTAATGTTAATTCTTTTTAAAAATAGACTCTTCTGTAGAATTCTCTGTAGATACTTAATTCTTCTATAGTGTGTGGTCATGTGAAAGACATGCTGAATTGCAGTTCAAATTAGCGCATATTCCTTAAAACCATGTATCAGGAAATCAGTATACTCCTGAATTGAGTGTGAAGTAAATTATAGTCTTCTTTTGTTTCTTAGTGCTTCATAAAGTTTTAATCAAAGTACTTTTAGGAACTATCCTGTTTCTTACGCACATTTTTTTGGAAATATTTTCTATCTGTATCCATTTCTTCTTTCTACACTTTGAGGTCGTCTTCAACTTTCGTCTATAAATAATAGATACTATTGAACCTTTTAGGATTAACTGTATTTTTTTATTTCCGTGCTTCTATCTTTTGTAAACTGTATTCATTTTATTGTCTTCTGTTAAGAAAATTGTACTACAATGTTTTATTGTAATAATAGATATCTTTGTATGTTTGTTTTTCGTTTCTCTACAACAAATTATTATTTAAATTCATTTCGTGTTGCACCAGAAAAAAATCAATAATATTTTCAAATAAGCGTCTTGATACTGTTTTGTCTATTTGAATTGTAAATTCTTTTTTTCTATACCTACTTGTACGGCACCTTTGCAATTTGTGTTACCATATTTCAATTTCTTGTTTTGTATTTGTTAAAGTTTTATATAGACACACATACAACTCTATGTATTAACTCTTTGGCTGTTTTGTAATTAAGTGTATATTTATTTATTTTAGTATTGTAAGATATTTATTAAGATTTAATTAAATAAAGTGTTAATCAATGTGTTTTCTTGTTTCTTCTTTATACGCCTTGGCCTACGCCTAACTAAATACCTGGTAATTCAAGGTTCCATAAATTGATTTTCGAAATTACTTACTCTACTTTATTTTTAATTTTCATGTTATCTACTCTTACAAATTTTAAACTCTAACGAGCACAACACAATTTAAAATTATTTTATATATTTATTTATTCTTTTATGTACACAATTTTATTATGGCATATAAGGCGAACTCAATGCCATATGCCATTCTCTACCAGTCAACCTGGGTTTAAATAGAAAATCTGCGAAAAATAAGGTACGGAGAATAAACTAAGTGCAAAGAGAGTGATAAAGAAAGAAAGAAATCATTTATTTGCTAATAATGTAAGTATACATATAAGTCATTATAAGTTGGTGTACTTACATATAAGTTGGAATAAAAAATGGTAATTATTCAATAATATTGCGATACTTACACAAAAAATCTTAAAAATAAAATCTTTATCCATTTATCATTATAACAAATTGATCATAGTACAGATAAACATCTTAATTTAAAATCAAAGATCACACTAGGTTTGAATGCCTGTACTAGGAAGAATATCCTGTATCACAGGCGGGAGGAGCACTCACAATAATACTAAACTATTTACATATATATTACATAATGTTAAATAGTAGATATAGTCATATGCATAAAATATATAGATATAAATACATACATATGTAAATATATATCGACGAAAACCTAAACCAAGCGTTGCAGCGATTTGAAATAAAATTAGTGAATTTGATGTGTAAATAATAAAAGAGATTTTATTAGGAGCTTTTTTAATATTGAGGAGATTTTATTAGGAGCGTTCTAAATTACCTATCTAAATAAATCTCTAACACTACTGAAAAGCAAGCAGTTTAGAAACAAATTAAGAATATATTTTGCACGTACAAGTTTTGTCTATCGGTATTCTTATAACACATATTTGATAACACGTTATATAATAATCAGCACAATTATTTAAAGGATCCATAACTACCTCTACATACACAGCACAATACTCCGTAATATTGTTACACAATATCAGTGTATTACTTAACCACAACTTGTTACTTAATGAACACAGGTAAGACAGTGTTCTGTGTTATTATAATATAACAACACACCTTTAATTCAGCGGAAGGTAAGGCAAAAGTCGTTGTTGTGGTCTAAACGTTCAAGACACTCACTTCTCATGCACGAGGGTTCGAAACCTACTAACGACAAAGTATCAATAAGACTTTTCCAAGTTATATGTACTTTCTAAGATCTAGACATCACTGACAAACGATGAAGGAAAACATCGTGAGGAAACCTGGGCTTATAACTTCTAATTATAAGTTTGAAATTGCCAACCCGCACTGAGCAAGCGTGGTGATTAATGCTCAAACCTTCTCCGTGTGAGAAGACGTCTTTTAGGAGCAGTGGCCACTTATGACTATTGAAAATGATGGTGATAATGATGAAGCAAAAGTGCATATAGGTACCAACCTACTTAGTAAATGTGAGAGTGAGTCCACAAGAATTATCGAAAAAAGAAAACTCCCAATAGTCCCCAGTGCACATCAATTTAACCCAGTATATCTAATAAGTAATAATAGACCTTCTGTAGACCTTTGGACTTAACTGCTTGGGTAATTAATTACCTTTTTACATTACTTTACATATTTTACATTTTTACATATAAAAGTTGCAGCAAATATGTATTTTTTCCATTCCATTACTATTAAGATTAATAACTATTTTCCTTTCTCGATTCGTTTGCATGATACTGTGTTCATTTCGACTGTACCTTATTTGCATTTAATTTTACATGGCGTGACCCTGTGATTATGGCGATTCATAATTTCATTTAAGAACATCTTGTTAACTCATCCATATTCTGCAAATAAAGAATTTGAATTAAATACGAAAAGCAAACAAAAAGAACTCTTAAAGACCTGGAATCGTATCAATCATCTTCTTTTCCAGCTGAAGTAATGGTGGGTCCAATAGCCCATGATTATCAAGAGCCTTCAATCGAGGACTGTGCCCCTGATGAGGAGTACTTCTCCTGCGGCTGGTGTGAACCAAGCTGTTCCAACCCATCGCCATCCTGCCCCATCAAAGTGTGCACTCGAGGATGTCTCTGCCGACCTCATTTGCTAAGGCACCATAGTGGACACTGCGTTGAAGCTAAGGATTGCTATCCACGTAAGAACAATTGTATTTTAACATAACCTAACATCACGCCTTTTATTCCCGAAGTGGTAGACAGAGGTGCACATTACTGCACTTAATGCCACTGTACAATGTAACACCCACTTTTCACTATTTTATGTTATGAGTCCCATGTAATAGGGGGTGAGTCTATTGCCCGAATCGAACCCAAAACCCTTTGCCCGGCAGTCGTACTTGCAGCCACTCGGCCAACGAGGCAATCGATTTTATAGTCTAATAATTATCCTATCTATTATGTAATGAGAGTAAATAAATAGTGACATAGCAATTACCCGAATAACCTCTTTACCCATCGATGAGTGTATCCAAAGACTTTCTTTTTGAGGGGGGAAAATCATCCAATGACTTCTCCCGCCCGGATGAGGCGAGAGGGAGTGTCAGACTCTTACTGACTAAACACCACCCCCTTCCTGCCCCTGCACTTCGAGCCGGAGCCCCGGGAACCCGTTAAGTCTTCTGCGGCTCCGTATCGGCATCAGCCCTGTTGGGCCCCATCTGTGGTGGTCTGATGGCTATGTGTATCCAAAGATCAGATCCTACATACAAAATGTAATACGTACTTTTCACCTGCTAAAATATTGTGACCCAGTCCTATTGGGACTTTCCTAGTACGGCCAACATCAAAAGTTGATGAAACATTTAGATTTTCAAAATCGCCGTACACCGTGTTATACCTACTTAAATCGGCGCACATGAGAAGCACCATATAGGTACAACACAAGATAATTATTTCTAGAGCAATTGTTATGTTGAGCAATTTAGGTAATATACTATACTTATTATAACTCTTTGGTAATATCACAGATAATATCTTAAAAATATTAATGCGTTCATCAATATTTGATACGCTCAACAGAGACAGAGCATACTGTATTATAAAGTTAATTGGGAGCTAACCTATTTCCAAATAAACACAATCTCCCTAAACAAATAATGAAATACGATTCCAATTTCGATTATGTACTATGTACCACTAATAAGTACTAATTCCCACAAGGTCACCCGCTGTCGTATAAAGGCTGAATACCAAGATTCCTTTATCATCAAATAATGTCAATGCTACCAAAAACCCATATATAATCTGTGCTGTCAGTTCCCATGGCGACCATAGATCAGAACATTTGTTTGTGTTATCATGTGGGTCCGGTATTTATGTGACAAGTGTGAACTTGGCTTTATTCTTTCTACATCTATCATGCCCTTATGATCTTGGCTCTATGACCTGACATGGACACCCGTCCATGGGCGGCGCTGATCGCTTACCATCAGGTGATCCGTCAGCTCGTTTGCCTCCTATTCCATAAAAAAAACTTAGGATTAAGACTAAATAGTTTTTCGAGTAGTTTGGACTACCTGTAAATAACAAACGGCATAATATGTTATGTCGAAGATTGCTAATTATTTAAAAGTAATATTGACTCATAACTTTATAAACAAAAGTGCATTTGCCAGCCACATGAGTGCCCATTATAGACACAGGCATGGACGGATTAATTCATATCTTGTTGTGACACTACTGTCGTTTTAGAATTTATTTAGAGCAGTTTTAGAGGTCTATCATGTATCATCTGCCTTCCTACATATGCAGGCAATCCCAAACAGAATAAACCTTCAAGCCAAACCGAGTCCTAACATTCCTAAATTGGTTCATTATGTTCGTGAAAAGGAGACACAAGCGATCTGACGCGAACAACGATGATTCAATATACCTCCCACATTTTATGACTCAATTGTTTTTGGGATAAAAGAGTCTTCCGAACAATCAGCTTATAAAATCCTTAATAAATAGCTTGAGAGGCAAACCTTGTACGGTTAATGACGTAAATTTTCAATCCCTGGATTCTTATTTTCATTAAATAAGTAGAAAATGCCAACTTGCATTGAGTAAACGTGGTGATTAATGCTCAAACCTTCTCCGAGTGAGAAGAGGCGCGTGCCGTTTATAGGTTTTTGGATACTTATAGACTGGATGATAAAAAGGAATATCCAAATATTAAAGCAAATACA